TTTTTTTTTTTTTTTTAAAACAAGGAAGTGTTTTTCTACCATTTCAGTGATCTCAAATTCCCAAGTTTTTAACATTCTCAGAAAAACACTATCATTGTGACTACTTCAATCAGTTCAAGTTCCCACAGCTACTTTCCGCCACTGTAAAGGAAAAAGGCTGAAGCTTATCATCGTAGAAAAAAAGTTAAACCTCAGTAAACCTAAAAAACTGGTATTCTCCCCAAAAATCGCATAGCTACTGACAAGTAAACTGTAAGAATAATGAAACAGCGTAGTTCCAATAGATTATGCATCATGCTATTCAGTGACGAAATTTAAGTATTATATGTAGCAGAAAAGACAAAATTTGAATGCGCAGCACATATTAAACTTAGGAAACCCAAAACTATCCCCGGAAAAATTAACACTTAAATTCTCAAAGCATTCTGTGATGATATTTCTTGGCGTATTCAGATCAAATTCAAAATTCTGCGTTTATTTCTTCAACAAAAAAACTATACTATAAATTAATGCGAGATCCGGAATTTAAACTTTCAGGGATGTTTTTTGTTAATAATTCAAAACCAATTCAATGTCTAACTTTTTACAACACACCAACTAAACTGATATTTTTCCCGACGGCAGTCTGAGTTTCGCGTTGCACCATGACTCCCTCCTAAGCAAGTTATGTAATGGCGCAAAGAAGCCTATATAAGGCCACTGTGTCAGTATTGTAAAGCAGTGTCGATCCAGTGTAGTGTTGTGGTGTTGTAGAGACGACTCAGGCGTTTCATGGACACGGACCCTATCGCCCCGAACTGTCGCCGACGACCCTATTCGACGAGCCCCTTAGCCACCAATTCAACACCAGCACTGGCAGTGCTAGCAATGTGTAAAATGTGTGAAAAAACGTGATTTGTCGAGAGCAAAAAAGAGTTTGAAGAGCAAATTACCGGATCAAGAGAGTTTATTTTTTCCCGAACACGAGACCAGAATTCTTTTAGATCCCTGTCTGCGTCACATGCCGGGTCGCATTTCGCCCACTGTACTTCATCACTTCTACGTGACTGAGCCTATAAAATTTTCATATAAAATTGAAATGTCCCCAAAAAAACACTCGTAAATGTGCTTGAATTTTAGTCCCATACCTGGAAAAGCTGCTCATTTTCGGTATGGTTCAACAACGAAAAATCTGGTATCTAAATTCTTAGGGGGTGAACTACAAGGCGGGGAAGAGGAGCAAGAGAAATTTCTTTCAACCGCTGAGTTGGTAATTCCTTCAGAAGACAAAACATGAACGTCAGAATCATCAACGGGCTGACTATCAGACGATGTAGCACGGCTCGGAGCCACTAGAAAAATTGCTAGCTGGGGGCTGTTAGTAAAAGCTAATTAAAATATTCAAATTTAAGTTAAGTTAAGTAACACCTGAACGTTGTGTTAGACTTAGATTTTGGATTTCGTGACTAAATAATGCAGATTTTTACAGCACAATATTTAAAATACTTATTTCACATCCAAAATGGCATTTAAACATCCGATTTTGAGTATTCAGGTGCCGGGTTTGCGATTAAGTCCAACAATCGACTATGAAAATTTTAATATTCCATTACTAACAGCTCATGTTGCGACCAGATTCATGCATGTCAGCAGCGAAGAAAAGAAAAGAGGAGGCTCACTTGTGAAGTATATGGGCCTGAAAAGCTTATTCCGTTTGAAGCGCCGGCCGTTAAAGGTGATGGGTGGACCGGCTGAAAAGCAGACTGGCCCGAAGCGCCTACTGCTGAAATGGACGAGCCTAAAAGGCCTGAAGAACGAGGGGTAGAGAGGCCTGAGGCACTGGGATCTGAGGTGGAAGGGGATGAAAAAAATGCTTGAAAAGTAGACGGGCTCGAGGCGGCGGTTGCTGAAGCGAAAGCGATTGCCGGGAAGGTAGATGGGCCTGCGAAGCTTGTTTGTGAGGCAGGTGAGCCCGCTGGGCAGTTGGGGAGGCCTGAAATGCATCTCTGAAAAGGGTCAGAATGGCTGACTCGTGAAGTGGATGGGCCTGGAGCGCTCGTCAGTGGAACGGCTGGCTCAAGCTCGATCAGTTCTGAGCTGTCCATATCGATGTCATCGACGAAGACCGCATCGTGCTTCGGCGCCGGCGGCTGCAGACCATCGTTCGCCGCGCTCTCGAACATGTCTACAGCAGCAGCAGCAGCAGCAGCAGCGATAACGTAGCGAGCCTTGCCGTATCTTGTTGAGAAAAGGCCTTTTTGCTCGAAAACCTGAAAAAAAGGCAAATTGCGGCAACTCAATTTCAGGATTATCTATCGCAAATTCGCGAACTCTTAGTGGTATACGGCGTCGGGCAACAATACTCAGCTTGAGAAACTCTTCCCGTCGGGCGTAAATGACGTGCCTCCCTTACGAATGGCGGCCAAAATTAACGAATTTAAGAGGATTACTGTAGAGAAGTAAAAGAAAAAACATCGAACTTAGGTTTCGGATGAACGATAAGAGCCAGCCGGGAAGGGCTAAGGCTCAGCAGAGTAACAGCGGCCTCCCGTACAACAAACTCGAAAATGTGGTGAGCAGCGCGGCCGGCAAGACATGGTTCACTTTCAAAGACCTGTGTGGGAAAGTATATAATAAGCACTTGGAACACAGAGGAAAGTACATAATAAATAGGGCTCACGTACGGGCACGTGAAAACTATGGCGGGAAAATTCATAACTCGCGAATGAAATAAATGGTACGCGCACCAGACTAGCCGGTGCGATCATGCGTTTTGTGCAATTCAGCCCATCGAACGATTGCCTACTAATGATTTTCACTGCTCTGTACTTTAGTCTATGCAAAAATAGTTCAAACATTGGAAGACAGTTAAAAATTTCACGCATCAGCGCATGAAGACTGAGTTCGAAACCTTGAAGGGTGAATACCTTTCAGTGATTCCCGCGTTAACAGTTTACCCGCCAAAATTTTCACGAGGCCGAAGGTGATACTCAAGAACGCGGAAACGCTGAGTTTGAATAGGCAAGGTTGAGCGGTCATTACTCTAAAATTTCAGCCTCCTAGACTCCGTGGTTCCCGAGATATTAATTTACTCGCAAAAACTTTCACGGGGCCATACGTGTTACTCCCGGGTACGGAGCTGAATTTAAATTTGCGGGGTCACACGTGGGTGGTGGACGTTCCCCTAAATTTCCAGCTTCCTAGCTTTCGTGGCTCCCGAGTTAAAAGTGGCGGACAAGTTGTTGCGGACACAAACACACACACACAGACAACCCCGTGACAATGTGTATTTTGTACTGCTGTTACACAGCACAAAACGCATAAAAAGTCTAGAGCGATGAGAAGGAGGCGGCTTGGCTAACTAAGGTTCTCATCAATAAAATAGTGGACAATGATCACTGCTGGGGGCGGGTTGCTGTCGATTTTTCTGAAATATCCGCCCATCGAGCGAAAAAAATGAAGGAGGATCGCCAAAGCATAACATCTCGGATCGATGTTAGGATATACAGTATGGCTTCACGAGCACGTTGCCTTGACCAGGACAATGACCAAATCCAGGACAGGGAAATCCCTCCCACTCTTGACCTTTTGAGGAAATAATTAAATCCATGACGACCGCAAAAATCCCCCACTTGGCGTAACGCCAATTTCAACCAGGAGGTCGCTAAGGTGGATTTAAGGGACGACCTGTGATAACAGTTCAAATAGTATGCAATCGAGGAGACCAATGAGAAAGTGCCGCTGGAAAATAGTGTACACAGTAATAAACACACAGAGAAAATAGTACGCGAGAAGTAAACAAATATGTCGACCTTGCCAAATTGGTTCAATGCCCATCACTGAGCTTTTCCGTTCAAAACACGACTAATTTTTCGCAACAGCAAATAAGCTGAGAGAAAAAGTAATCCAGACCGGGAAGCATCAGGCTTGCCGGTGTAGTCATGCGTTTTTGTACTAAACTCACAGATCGCTAATAACAGGAATGATCCCTGTACTGTAACCTAACAGTTCGACTTATATTGGCTGAGTTTTGGCCCCTTCCAACATGCAGGAGAAAGGGCATCCGCTGGGATGAAGGTGGTGCATTACAGAGCAACATAGACCTCCAGGTACATGACTGCCAGCTTTTTGCATAAAGTCCGGTTGTTTTTTCGGCAAGTGCTTGTTTTTGAAAAAATGGAAAATGCAAATTTTTTGAAAAAATGCAAATTCTTAGTTTACTAAAAAGTGGAAGTGTTGCTCGAGAGGGTATTTGTCAAACAATCCAAGTATGCAAATGAACTGAATGTTCATTTATATATTTGGATGAGGGCGGTCGTTCGCTGCAAAACGCACTTATTTCTGATTTTTCGGTAAAGTTGAGCATTTCTCACGCCCATCTGCAGGGAAATTCACCCCCATGCAGAATTAAGACCAACTTAAAAGTAGAATATCCCAGCGGATTTTCAGCCTTGCATTTTGTCCGGTAAGCGAAATATCTACTTCGCAACAAATATCTTTGAAGTGCCCTAAGTCGTAGCGCAAATGCAAATCGGTATTCATTTTAGGTATTCGATTTCCCGTATGGGCGACACTTTGCAGGAATATTCTCTGCGCATGTGCGAGCTAAAGATTTCATGTTCAGCTGTTGCGCACGCTTGTGCAGCGCATTTTGCAACTTTGTACTATGCTAACTCGAAAACTTGCTAGAAAACAGTAGCTGAAATTTTGTCAGCATGTTTGCCGCTCATGTGGGAAATCGAACACCCAAAATGAGTACCGATTTGCACTTGCGCCACGACTTAGAGCACTTCAACTATATTTGTTGCGAAGTGGATATTTCGCTTACCAGAGAAGGTGCAAGGCTGAAAACTCGCTGGGGTATTCTACTTCCAACTGCAGTCTTAATTTTGCTTGGAGATGAAATTCCCTGCAAGAGGGCGTGAGAAATACTCAGATTTTCCGAAAAATCAGAAAAGAGTGCGTTTTGCAGCGAAAGACCGCCCTCATCCAAATATGTAAATGAAATGAACATTCAGATAATTTGCACACTTGGATTTTTTGACAAACGATCACTCTAGCAACACTTCCACTTTTTAGTAAAATGGAAATTTGCATTTTACATTTCTTCAAAAAGCGAGCATTTACCGAAAAAACGACCGCGCTTCATGCAAAAAACTGTTAATCATGTACCAGGAGATCCGTGCAGATCTATAATGCACTATCTTCATTCCAACCGACGCTCTTTCTCCTGCATGCTGGAAGGAGTCAAAACTCGGCCAGTATGAATCCAAGTGTTAGGCTGCAGCGCAGGGATCACTCCTGCTATTAGCGACCTTCGAGTTTAGTGCAAAAATGCATGATCGCACGGGCAAGCCTGGTGCGTTCCAGCCTGTGTTATAATTGAGTGCTGTTAAAATGTTGATCGATGAATTTTAAAAAAATGTCTACAAAAAACGCTATGAGCGCTTGCTTATAAATAAACTAGGAAAAAGTGGTTATTTTTTGTGTTTATCCCGTCCATCGAATCATTCTCGGCTGCACGAGTAAAAACACTGCTGATGATTGATTGAATCCCCTTGCTGGAGAATTGAATCTTTTCTAAATATGATAAAATTTTTCAGCTTTCGCATCGCGCAGACAAAACTGAAAATTACTCTTCCGACGAATAAATTTTTTCTACTCCCAGAGGTATTCCATATGCTAAATCGTGCAACAAAAAGAATTTTCTTTTATACCAGTCCACTTTTCATGCCGTTAACATTTCGTAATTTTTCAGCTCTTAGAAATTAAGGATGAATCCACTCTACCAAGCACTGCGTTATCTATACGGAACTTTCGATTTTATTTACTACAATCCAGTCACAATGTGCTTCTGCTCTAAACCGTTTGCATTCTGTGCGAACTCATCACCTTTACCAAATACTTAAAGGCAATAATTTTAATGTTAATAGTCGGCATAGACAACTTATGTCTCTATTTTGGCAGCTAAATCCCAGGCACTCGTTCCGAGAAAATGCCTGTTAAATTTTCGCATTTTGATTGAAGCCTACCAATTTTATTAAAATACGGGTTTTTTCATTTGTTTTCTGTTATCAGACTTTCAATTTAAAATAAAGTTTATCCGACATCTGCTCCTTTCTTTCTAGTCGCCAAATTTTTTCAAATCGTATGCTGAGAAGAAATTTACCGGTTTACTAAAAATCGGCCTACTAACTTCTCAAAAATTAAGTACCTCGATATTTGGTTGTTGTGAATTACATCTGAACTGCGTTTTGACGGCAAATGAACTGTAGTGTATATCTTCAAGCAGTTCTGAGATAGAAAGAAAACCCAGGG